TCCCTTCTTGGTTTGGTTTTATGTATTTCAGAGACAGTTGCTCTTCTTATGCTCATGGAAAGTTAGATGAATCATAAAAGCTGACAGTTTTAAGATTTTCTCTGGTAGAAGTATGAAGTTGCCCACTATTTTCTCTGGAACAAACTCCTCCCTTGGTTGACACTGTGTACGTCTAAACAAACAGCCAACAATACATTTTTTTCAAAATACAGAATTCAACATGTTAAGTACCAGCTGCCCTAAAACCAAATGCCTGCACCATCCTCAGAAAAGTAACTGCAGCACGAGAGCTGATTTGGTGTCTGTTAGACACTTGAGTTCCTTCCAAAAGGGGGGAAAAAAAGCTAAATAGTCCTCCTAATGTAAAACATACATTGTTCTTCAGATGTGGGAATACACCAGAGAATAATTTCCACATAGAGCAAAGAATAAGAACATATTATAGAGTATCTTTAAACAAATATTGCAGCTGACTCTTCCATATAGGGTTTCCAGGAAGGGAAAACATCTGTAGAACATTAACTGACTCAACTTAAGAAATGTTTAAAGGGCATTTGTCAAGGATTTTACGCTAAAAACACATTCAGAACTTAAGTCGGTCAGAACTGGGTCAGAATTTCTGTGTGTGCGTATCTGTATGCATAGATACATACGTACACATGTAGAGCACATTTTCATGAAAACCACACTGCCTTCTAAAAAATATGAGTATTAGCATTAGCCACTGTTTTTCTCTCAAGTGCCGTCTCCCTTTGCCAGTGATTTTGTACTCCTGATGGTAACTTCAAAACTTCCATTAGCAAACTGAGAGGTGAGAAGGGCACTAAGACTGAACTAGCATGAGTCACTAGAGAGTTGTTGTTTCAGTGAAAATGGGCATCATAAGAACACTTCCAAATCAAATGCAGACCAAAATCCAAGTTATGTGCAAAATGAAACAAAATGAAACAACAGATTCTACACCTCTACTTACTTGTCTGGGTTTAATTTTACAAACATAAATATCTCCATTAACTTCAGAATTATACATGTATACAGAGCTAAGCAAGAGTTAGAGAGCCAAGGTCAGGGACAAAGTGAGTACACTGGCAATGTCTTCATTCTCTTTTTGGTTTTAATCTAGAGCTGCAATTTAATAAAGTTATTTTTAGAGCTGCAATTTAATAAAGTTTAGTAAATAAAAAAAGTTTTAAGGGCTCCCACTTTAGACAAACTCAAAAGGGAATGAATCAGGGAACAAAAGCGGCCTTACCGAAAAATCTTCCTAGCAGTAAACAGTCTGTTCTTGTATAGATGATACAGTGGATGCTAAAGAAAAACTCTAAATCTACGAAGGCTGTAGTGGGATGAATACTTTAAGCCAGCACGAATAAATGAAAAAAAGCAGCGCTTCCTTCATTCTGCCTTAGCTGTTTTTATGCCTCATTTTTACACCATTCCCTCTCTTGTGCAGTGTATCTGTCTATGCAGCTATACAGTGATCCAGCAGCTTATTGTGCTGGAAATTAACTTTTCTTTTTGACTATGTCTGAGGAACTGATTTGGGTTAAACTACTTCTTAGGCAGCAGAATTAGCTTTTGATGTTTTTGAAACGTCCCCATCTTCACAAATTAAGAGGCCTACCAAAAAAAATGGATACCACTGCTATTAAACCGCAGAAGTGCTTTATCTGTTAACAGCCAGGTATCCCCTGCTTCACACATGGCCTCCACCCGTGGTGCTTTACACCACTCTTCCCCATGGATTTGTTTGCAGATGGATGAAGAGAAGTCCCTTGCTACCAATTTCCATTGCTTATATAAAATACTGTCCGCTACACTAAAGTGGCATGCTGTTTTGGCCATTAGGGAGCACAAAAATCCAGCACGTTAATGAGAGATGGGCATCCCTGCATCCAGACCTGTCTATTCCTGAAAATGCCTAAGTAGACTGGCATATTGACCCATGTGAGTTAACCTTCTTACAAGGTAAGATACAAATCCAGTAAAATTCAGGAAGATGACTCCCATATTTGTTTTTACCGGATGACTGGTCATCCTACAGCCTTTTCTTTCAAAGTACAGGCGCGTATGCCTCAAAGGATCAATAACAGGGGAAGGAAGTCTAGAATACTAAACAGAAGTTTTCTTCAGCTTTTTTCCATAAAACATGGCATACTGATATACTATATCATCCTCGCACATGGTATCTCCTACTATCTTAATAGCGAATCAGAGATGCTATTTTTAACATAATGTGTCAGATTACTACATTTTCTTCTATTGTTCTGAATAAAGCATAAACGAACTAACGAGAATGTACTGCATTGCTACTGTATTGCTACCTGCTTAACACAACACAATATATCTCCAAAAGATACGAAGGTCAGAGATATTCTATCTAAAGTTAATCACAGTGGGGGAAACAAGCAAACCACCACAAACACTTTTCATGTGAATCCAACATCAAATGCATAATGACTGCAGAGGCCATTTTAAAAGAAAAACAGATTAGAACCGCAAATTAGATGGATTTTAACTATCAAATAAACAGAATCTTTAAACAGTTCATACGCTGGAGCAGAAAAAAAAGCAAGAGGAAGATTTGCAGGTCAGTGCAATACTGCAACAATATCTTAAGTATAATACATAGCAACAATACAGTTAAATTGGCTATTACACATCACCTCCTCTACATACTTAGACTCCTAATATTCAAGACAGAGGTAACAGTGGCATCACTATTTTATTGTGGTCTTCAAAACAATCCCTTCAATTTCTTTCACTGTTAACAGCAATTGCATTTACAGTAGAGCCAGAAAGATAGATATCTGCTACTATACAGAAATATACTATAAGGTATTAATTTAGAAAAAAAATCAGGTATGATATTTCAGGTATGATTTTCTATTCTACTAACTCCTTCAAGCAAGTGGAGGACTTTCCAAGTACAATAGCTCGCCCTGTGGAAGCCACAGCGGGGATGATGGAGGACACAGCAGTTGTGCTACACACTGGGGAATGCCATCATGAATGGGAACTGAAGGCAGGAGAAGCCAGAAACTCCAGGCCTTATTGTCTCCCTCTAAATCCATCCTTTGGTGGCAAATACAAAGAAGGAGGTCTTTGACAGAAGGGTGGTGGATCAAAAGAGGGGGGGCTGAAAATCCTGCTGAGGAGTGATACTGCCACGTTGGCCTAATTTTCGAAGGGCAGTGTGGTTAAGGGAGTAGCACGGGATCAGCAGGGGGCTAGAAATCCTAAAGGGCTTTGCTGCTATTCCCCATTCACAGTGGTCAAAATGCCTGGTAGAATGGTATGAGACTGGAATGGAGGATGGAAATTCTCTAGAAGGGTTGTACTGCCATTTCAGCCTCATCTTGGACGGGTGGAGCAGTTGGTTTCTGTCTCCACAATGCCTATGAATTCCTTGCATGACCAATTTACTCACTCGTTGCTCTCTAACGAGTAAAGTCATGATGAAACTTTTCCTCAGTACCTAGACCGAATTTTTATTTCTGTGGTCCAAAATGTTTTCTAAGACTCTAAGTTCTTCCCTTCCTTCCTACGTATTCATCTGTAACTTGTACAGATTGCACTCATATTCCTCAGTGTGTGTTTTCTTCTAGACTCTTTTGATTGCCAAACAAGTCTATGGAAGGGTTCCAGAGTATTATCCTGAAGGGCATATGCAGCACAAAAAGAGCCAGTACTGGAAAACGCTAGCCACCTGAAGAACAAATTATTCTGAGAAATGGAAGAAAAATAATCTCAAAATTCGGAAGACAGTTAGGAGTTTGGCAACTGCATGAGCTGATCTGCTCCCAAATGTTGAGTACAGTAAATGCTGAGAGTATGAAAGACTCTGTATGACACACAAGTTAAACATTAACTCTTTAACATATATACAACAATGGTAAAAAGCAGTTATTTCTAAGGATTCCTCAAGTAAAACGATCAAATATGTTAAAAGAGTCAGACTAAAAGGTAAACAGGCACACGGGTTCATAAGCCTACAGTAAGGTCTGTTTTCTCCAGACAGCCGGGATATCGTAGAGATTATTCCTCGAAATGAACCTAGTTGTTGCTGGTACTCAGAATGCTAACACTGCAACGTGCAATGGCAACGACTGGCTATTGCTATTACTACTGGCTTCTCTCATTCTCACCTTCCAGCTCTTAGCTCTGCTCAAATAGCCTCCATGGAGAACTATAATCTCCCACATCATTAGCATTTTAAAATAGATTCTTGTATCTATCTTTTTAAAAGTCACCTGAAACTCTTTCTTCACATGTACTCTTCAGAAATAGCATTTAAAGCCACTAACTGTGATCTTCCAGTCCCACCCCGGGATCTTTCTGACCTGGTTTCCATTCATGCTTTCATCCCACAAAACTGTTTTCACACAGATCTCTCCTCCTTATCTCAGCATCCAGGAAGACACATTATGCCTCTAAAGCAATTTTTTTTACTCATTCGCAAACTCTTCCCATTTCCCATTAGTACAAACCTGAAACTTTCAAACGTTTCATGAAAGGCAAGACCAGACCTCTTCCTCGAGAGACAGGCGTGCATGCCACATCCAACTTCAAGCAAAGAGATGCTAGCAGTACAGATCCACACTCTCCCACTCTCCTACATCTCATGCGTGTGGTGATCGAGATTCAGATTTCGGGTCTCTTAATCTCTCTCCCTCTAGCTTTGAGCACAAATCCCACCGCGGTCCTAACCTTCTCCACCCAACCTCACGCACATGGACTGCAATGAAACTGCGTCCCACAGGACGCTCCAGTTTGCTTGAACTGGTATTTGCAGGTTAAAAGGCAGACGGACAAAAGACAGACACACAGGTCTTGCTGAAAGACTCCTGAATCCTATGCAGGTACTCAGCTGCCTTGCCAGGGCTGGTGTATTATGGAGGCAGGGGACAGCAGATCAGGGGACAGCAGCAGATCACACTTCTTTTTGGTGCCTGCAAGCCGCAGCAGCCTTGAGGGGATCTGCTAATGACTGAACTCACATTTTCGTGCTTCATGTGTTTCAGGAGGCGCAGCTCTCGGTAGGCTCGTTTGGCGAAGAGTTCAGACTGAAACGGGCGGTACAGTTTCTTGATGGCCACTTTGGTACCATTCCTTCCGTCAACAGCTGAGCTTTAAGGGAACAGGAAGAG